TCGATTTTTGTGGCATATTCTGTTATATATTTTCGTCAATATTTGCACAGCCGCGCTTAGATCGCGTCGCGCAGAGTCAAGTTCGTTGCTTGAGTCTTTTGTGCGCCAACTCGCATTACACTTCGCACGCATAAGAGCACACCGCACGATGTGCAGCCGGCGCAGACAGTTGAACGCACAACAAACCGTTATTGTTCGGTGGCGACTGGCGATTGGCGACTGGCGGCCTCAACACCCTCTTCGCTTATTTGTTCAGCGCAAATATTTGTACGTTTTTATGACATCCACTGTTTGGTTGCAGGCGCTGACATTGCGTGTCGTTGACAGCACAAATGAGCGCCTTGCGGTTAATAAAAAATTAAATGCATTTTAAATGATCTATTTGCACTTATGCATATTTGTATGTGGCACGCATGCGCTCTGCGCGAGTTGTGGCAATAAGTGTGCGGATTTGTGCTTCAATGCACGCGAGTGACATTAAGAAGCGTGTGAATGCGCGGCTGTGGAAATTTAGAATGGAAGCATTTCAAAATAGCAAATATTAATTTTTTTTGTAAAACTGCAAGAATGGCGTTCAAACATCCCGAAATTTTAATGTGTAGAAATATAAAAATTTCTTTTTTAAGAAAATATTATTATAAAAAAATAATAATAATAATAAAATTATTCCCCAAAATTTTYACTAAAAAAATATAAAAATAATTCCAAAAATATTTTAAAAATGATATTTTGCTCAAAAAATTTACAAACAATGTAAGTATTTTTGAAAGTGAATCTTACATAAAGTATTAACGACAAAATATTTTAGAAAGTAAAAAAGTACCGATAAAAAAGTGACACTGTTGCTTTCAAAATTTTATAGAATTAAAAAAATTTTGCAAAAATTACTATACAAAAATTTACCGATTTAACTATGTATTTGAATTAAATAAATATTTTTTTAAATTTTTCAAAAAAAAATATCAAATCCAACTTTTCAAAAAAAATTTTCAAAAAAATATTTTTTTTTTGTGATATCAAACCTCAACCTAAACTACATTAATTAATCCAACGGCTTATTTGTCATTTGTTGTCACCAGGTTTGCGAAGTTAAAAAAAAATTGTAATTAAAAATATAGTAAATAATAAAATAAAAATTGGATTTTGAGTTTTTAAGCCCTATGTTTTGATAAAAAATTATTAAAATTTCACTTTTTAATTGAAGATGTTGGCACTGAAAATTGAAAATATTTTTTTGTTGTGAATGAACGCAAAAAATATTAATTCTAAGAAAAATTAGTTTTTTTTTATTCCAATTATTTTCTTGAGACAGTTTTTTCTCTTTTAGTTTTCAATCCATAAGCTTGAATTAAAAAATTAAAAATAAAATTGTTAACCAAATTTTGGGATTAATTTTTTTTTTCATCGCGATGTTGGATTAAAAATAATATTTTAGTTTTTTAATTTCGATGTTTCGATTAAACACTAATTCCATGAATATTTATTCGTAAAAAATTTAATTTCAAAATTTTTAAAATATTTTTCCAAAAAATTTTTTTTCGCGATAAAAATGAAAAATGTATTTTAAATAAAATTTTAAAAATACAATAATTCCATAAACCGGATTAATAATAAATTTTTAATTGAGAAATTAATAATAAATGTTTAATAAAAAAAAGCGGTTAAAATATTAAAAATTAAATTTTAATAAGGTTATTTTTTTTTATATTTCTTTAATATTTTTGTTTTTATTTTTGTTTGGGATTAATATTTACTTCTTTTATTTTTCAATTAGGTATGCGGTATTAAATATAAATGCAATAATTATTTTAATGACTTATCTGCAACCCTGCTCGTCACTATACTAGTGAGGTTCGAGCATTAACTGAACTAAAGCGGCTTTCACAACCTTTACATCTTGCTTTAAGGACTATTTTCTCAATGACTTCTTTGTAACCATCTGACAATTATGTTCTGGTTAATAAAAATGTTCTTTACCGAAAAAAGCAGTATTGGTTTAATTAACCAGACCTTAACTAACAGAAGACTTCAAACCACACGTTGAGAAAATGGATGTATATGTTGACATTTTTTTTTCTGTAATAAAAAAATATATATAAAAAGGTAAACAGCGGCTAATTTTTCACTATTCCTCCATTTTAACCAGCGATTTACTCTAAAAATCGTTTCTTCAAACAAAAACTCCTCAATTTCATACTTTTCCCAATCCTCGGAAAACTATCGAAAATTCAAAAAGTATAACAAGATGTATGTGATGCAGCTCTAAACTGTGTCAGCAACTCGGCAAGACTGATAGCACCGTCACCGTCTAACAACATTTGTGGCACACACGGCGTATGAGTAAAATACCACAGCAATTGTACGAGCTGCTCAGCGTACACAGCATATCGAGTATAAACCAGCGACTGCGCACACCAGCCGAGCACTAAGAAATATTTCTAACAAACTGAGAGAGAGAACACACGAAATGGGAAACAGTCAGCTGTGCACGAGCGCGCTTGGCAAATTTAAAACGGTGTAAAGCTCATTATCAAATGTGAAGCGCTGCACGTTGTAACACACACACGTGCACAGATATTGCGAATATGATTATTTATCATATGTCGCTTCGGTATTTGGCATTTGTGCTTGACTTTTTTCTTAGGCGACGCGTGAACTAATCCTTTTGCTGCGTGCTGACGCTGTTATGATTCCTTCCTGCGTGCTCATGATGCCTGTGTGGCAACTAAAGATTACTACAAAATGTTTCTTTTTTCTCTGGTTTGAGCAGATATTTATTCTTTTATTTGCTGAAAATATTTCAAATACTGACATCTTAAGAAAACCATGCTGAACCACTAAGTCAATAAAAAAAAAAGGAAATTTACCAAATAAGCAAAAGTTTGAACTTTTTCGGCGCTAACTTCCTGTTTTGTCACATCTTTGAGCCATAATCTATCTAATCCTATTAAGTCAATAAATAGAGTAGTCGATCTCAATCCCACTAAACACAAAGCATAACCATTCGAAGCGTCAATGCTGGCTTTGCGACCATTTGATGAGCTTCACCACGCTTGGACCACGATCTTTTTCGCACATTATTGTCGTATTTGATCCACTTTTCGTCTCCTGTTACCATTCGCTTCAGAAATGGTTCAATTTCATTTCGTTTCAGCAAAGAATCGCAGTTCTTAATTCGAGCCATTAAATATTTCACAGGCAATTTATGTGGTACCCAAACATCGAACTGCTTTTTGTAGCCAGCTTTTTTCAAAAACGGTTCAAAATCGCTTGATAATGATTCCATCATTTCCATAATTTCAACGACTTTTCCCACAATAGGTGGACCAGAGCAAGGTGCATCTTTCACTTTGAAATTTCCCGAACGGAAGCGAGAGAACTGATATAGCAACGTCTCCGTAAACTTCACAAATTTCATTGGTGGCTTGCGTGGCATTCTTCCCTCATACCCCATTTACAAAAAAACTTTCAAAAATTAGCGAATTTCTTCATTATTTTCATTCATTTTTGAACAGCTGTAACTTTCTTTCAACTTCTCCGAATTTAATTTTTTTTGGTTGAATGAAGCCTAAGTTCTCACCTTTCCAACATTATACACATGGTATGACCCAAAATGATTGGTAGTACTGGAGATATACGACTACAACGACATCTTTTGACTAAATACGAAAAGACTTTTTCGACAATGCAATTTTTTCCACAAAAAATAATAAAATTTTATTAGTTTTAAAAAAGCGGCGATGATTTTAATTAGATTCCTGTTCGCTTTCAATAATACCACTCCAATTTTTGCACAAAAGCACATTTAATTTTATCGCCGTGCAAAGGCTTTGAAGGAATTTTCGTGTTCGCACGCATTCGAAGCGTCTTTCGCCGCATCCTCCGACGCCAACAACCAGCCACTAAACGCAACGCACGAAAACAACAATGCTTTCTGCCAAAAATGCAGAAGAAGAAACACACAAAAATTTGCACCCATTCGCGTGGAAGCATAGTACGCCAAGTGGCGGCCGTATGCGTGTGCGTGTGTGTGGCTCACATAAACCTAAAAATGAAACTGAAGCGCAAATGCAAACAACAGCAATAGACAGCAGCGCTCGACTATAATGGTAACTGTTTATTGCTCTGCATCAGCAACATCATTACCAAGCGGCAGCGTGCTTTATATGCTCTTGTTGTTGTTTGTGTTTGCGCCTTCAAGCAGCGCACATTGTGTTGTTGCATACATTTGCGAATGAGTTTCGGTGTTGTTGCCGCCAACTATTATTCAAGTATTTATTGCTTTGTACCTTTGACTGTTGTTTTGGCGATGTTAACAACAGCATGCGCAGCGGCAGTGGCAAAAACAACAAAAACTAGCGTTAGTCATGAGCTCAGCAGTCACTATGTTTGCTTCTTCGTACGTTAAGCTGCAGATGTTTTTGTTGTTGTTGTTGCTCATATTCCCCGCCAGCGCTCTTTCAACCGCTCAAATCACATTGCTGCCGCTTGCCACTTCGATCTGCACAACCTCAGCGCCGCTGTGCTCTCGCAGTTTAGCCGCTTACTTTTTCATTTCAAGCCTTTTGTTGTTGTTGCACATTTGTGTTTCTACACATCTTGCTCATTTGCTCTCCGGATACAATTAATTTTTGCTTGCTAGCGTGTAGCTAAGCACAAGTTTAGTTTCTAAGCTGTTTCGGCGTTGTTGTTTTGCCTGCCTTTTTGTTGTAGTTTTTGAAAAAATTTGGCGCGCAATTTTGCCTTCTTAATGTTATCTGTTACTCTTCCCTAAGCACAGCCATCGCAGCACCCTTGCACCCCGCCATGTGACGGCACTTGTTCATGCCGCTGCCGCGTCTGCCTTCTGCCACCTTGGGCCAACGCTTTCGGCAGCCTCTTCGCCTACCGCAGCCAGCTGCCTGCTGCTAACTGCTAACTGCTAGCTGCACTACTATTTGTTTCAAACAATATAAATAGTGGCCTACGAAACTGTTTCAGTATCAAATTCAATTCAACCATCTTCGCAAGAAGAACAAACAGCTAAGTAGCTAAACAACTTTTGTGTGTGATAATTCAAAACCCAAACAAGTGAATATACAAAATGAAGGTACGCCAATACAGTAATCCAAAGGAACAGTTTTCTAAATAATATATATAAATAAAAAAAAATATTTAAAAAATATATTTTATTTACAAAAAACCGCAAGTGCCTCACAGTGCTGCCAGCAATTTGTAAGCTGGGAAAATAGAGTTTCTAAAGGACATCATTGACATAAATGTATAAATGTGTAAAAGGGTTTGCTGGCTGTAGAGAGCCAACGCGAAAGTCAATTTGGTTTTAATACTTAAATGAATAATAATAAAGCAAAATGTGTTTTGGAAGAAATAATGAATCGTTACAGCAAGCGAACTCAAAGAGCAAATTGGAAGGAAATAATTTTTATAATATTGAGTTTTCAAAAAAAAAATTTTTTTTTATAAATTTT